CCAAAATCGGACCTCGAATGGCCCCTCAAATCCCCAATTTAACTTCCCAATTCCAAGCCCTAATTTCCCAACTCTTTCTCTAATTTTTCCCACTAATTTTCATGATTAAATAATGAAATAATCACCATAAACACAAGATATAAAGCCCAAATCGCTTACCTCTCTATCAACACTTGATTCCCTCTTGAAATCACAGCTTGGAGCTCCAAAATCGCACAAAAATGATGAACAAATGACTGAAAATCGCGAAGCCCATAATTTATATGTTCTGCCTTAACAAAACAGCACCTGCGGTTAAATGGTCGCATCTGCGCTACCGCTTCTGCAGTCAAAGTACCGTTTCTGCAGTTACTCACTTATGTCCCTTTTCCGCATCTGCGATGCAATGCTCGCACCTGCGCTATCGCAGGTGCGCTTCCTTAGCCGCTTCTGCGGATTCCACCTGATTCCCTCTTGGCCGCTTCTCCGGCTTGTTTCCGCATCTGCAGGAGTCGCACCTGCGGCCTCCCAACCGCAGATGCGGTTATGACAGCAACAATAAATCTTCAGCTGCCAAACTCAACTCCAAAACCTCCCGTCAACCATCCGAAATCACCCCGAGGCCCCCGGGACCTCAACCAAAAGCAAGAACTAGTCATATACCAATATCCAAACTTATACAAATCTTCATAACACCTCAAACAACATCGAATCAACCAAATCACATCGGATTCAAACCTAAGGTTCCAAAATCTTCCGAATTACGCTTTTGATCAAAAAGTCTATCAAACCACGTCCGAATGACCTGGAATTTTGCACACACATCACATATGACCCAAGAAACCTACTGCAACTTCTGGAATTCCATTCCGACCCCTATATCAAAATCTCACCTATCAACCGAAAAATGCCAAAATTTCAATTTCGCCAATTCAAGCCTGAATCTATATCGGACCTTCAAAACACATTCCGATCACGCTCCTAAGTCCCAAATCACTAGCGAAGCTAACCAAATCATAAAAATTTCAATCCGGGGTCATTTACTACAAGTCAAAACTTGGTCAACTTTCAAATTTTAAGCTTCAAACTGAGAATTGATCTTCCAAATCCGTTCCGATTACCCTGAAAACCTAAATCGACGATTTACATAAGTCATAATACATCACACGGGGCTAGTCATGCCCGAGAACTGGCGAGCGAAATGCCAAAGCTCAAAATGACCGGTCGGCTCGTTACAAAACCTGATAACCCATATGCATTCGTTACTGAACTACTAGGAGAACAAACCAATTATCAAGAAGTAACCAAGTGAATCACTCAGTCAAGTGTGCAAGATGGAAAGATCCATCCATCACTTGTGCTTTCGGACAAAATATCTTAATATAATACAAACATAAAGAATATTCCAATAAAATTGCATAAAAGTGGAGAATAATAAGAAAGTATAGGTGAAAATAACATATGTTGATAACAAGACATGGTCATATCACTAGAAAATAAGACAAATTAGGCTTAAAGATGGGAGAATGAGAATTCCCAATAAGACAAACAACTATAATTTATTGTTGAATACACATTGTGTCGGCGGATGCCAATTAACAGGGAATAAGAAAATAAAAAAAATTAAGCTACATCCTTGGCTCAGGTACATGCCCTTACATCTCTATTCCTTTTGAAGTTGTTGGATATCTGTGCTATTTTCTCGTCCTTTTTCTGGACCATTGGTGTCTTGCAACTTCATACAGTCTTTATCAATCCTCAGTGCTCTACTTCCTACTCCTCTATTCCTTTACTTTCAAATCCCACCAACAACAATGAGTCTTCATATAAAGCAATCCCATTACATGCCCTTTAACATACCTTCCCTATTCCATAAATTTGTAGCCAGATTGATGAATTTAAGTGTATAAAATCAGATGTTGCTCGAACAAAACTTTTAAAAAAAGTTCCCAAATCATCTTAAGCCTAATAAGCGTTCCTAAGAAATGAAATAATGAATAAAATCTGTCAATAGAAATTTATATGCATAAATTTTTTCCAATAGCTATTTGACTTAATTCATCCACTTTATGTCAATCTCAACCTATACACCAATTTTAGTGCTTTATCAAAATTGGGTTATCATGAGTTTTTACTATTCTTTTCCTCGGCTATGGAGAGTGAGCGGTGTGCGAAGAGGCAGTTATGAAGAGCCTGGAAATATACTCGTGATTCACAATTCACAATTCATAGAAATATAACATATACGAAAAATGTAAAGAAAAGGAAGAACAACATGAATTAGGAGTAAAATTAAATATCCTTTTTTGTTAAAGTTAGTAGAACAATAAATTTCAATACCTTATGAAGAAGAAGAGATAGAGGTGAATCAGCGAGAAGAAGGCAACATCAATGAAATTGGACGGAGAATAACCCTTAAAATGATGATTCCGCATTATCTGGTCGGAAACACAAAATCCAAGGAAATTTATCCAAGAAATTGGAAACAGTTAAATAGATCTGAAAGAAGCAAAGAAAGAAAAGAAGACAAAGAGAAAACAAAGAAGATGTGACGACCCGGCCGGTCGTCTCTTGAGTTACCGCTTTATTTCTTCCATTTTTGCTTCTATTCGCCTTAATTATTGGTTTTATATGTGATCGGGTTGGTTGGTCCGGGTTCGGACAGGTTTTGAGAAGGTTTGAGACAATTAGTCTCTTTTAAGAAGGCTTAAGTTGGAAAAGTCAACCGGATGTTGACTTATATGTTAGAAGGCTCGGATGTGAGTTCCTATGGTTCGTATAGTTTCAGGAGATGATTTGGGACTTAGGAGTGTGATCGAAATGTGTTTTGGAGGTCCGGAGTAGATTTAGGCTTGAATTGGCGAAATTGAGTTTTTGGCGTTTTCCGGTTGATAGATAAGATTTTGATATAGGGGTCGGAATGGAATTCCGGAAGTTGCAGTAGCTTCTTTATGTCATTTGGGATGTGTGTGCAAAATTTTAGGTCATTCGGACGTGGTTTGGTATACTTTTTGGTCAAAAGCGGAATACGGAAGAATTTAGAACCTTAGGCTTGAATTCGATGAGTTTTGGTGATTTTGATGTTGTTTGAGGTGTTTTGAATATTGGTACAAGTTTGAAAAAGGTTATGAGATATGTTTGTACTTTTGGTTGAGGTCCCGGGGGCCTCGGGGTGATTTCGGATGGTTGACGGGGAGTTTGAGAAATTTTTGCAGTTGCAGATTGTGCTACTTCTGGTATTTCCGCACCTGCGGATTAAGGACCGCAGGTGCGGCGCCGCATATGCGAAGGAGGGGCTGCAGAAGCGGCCAGAGGCGCATTTGGTTGGGACCACAGAAGCGGTTGTGTGGTCGCATCTGCGAAGGCGCAAGTGCGGAAAGCCCATCGCAGATGCGAAAAGGGCCGGTTAAGTGAAGAACCGCAGAAGTGGTTCATTGGCCGCAAATGCGGTACCGCAGAAGCGGTAATTGGACCGCAGATGCGGAAATGCCTGGACAGAAATATAAATTAGTTCCTTTGCGATTTTCAGAAGGTTTTCTCACTTTTTAACATGAATTTTGGAGCTTTGGGCGATTTTGAAGAGAGAAATCAAGGAGACAACATTGAGGTAAGGTTTTGGATTATGAAAACTCATTTTTATGGTGTTAATGCATGGATTAGAGCTGTAATCAAAGGTAAAGTAGAGCAACTAGGGCTTAGAAGCCTAGGCCTTTGATTGAGGTTTTGGAAGACCATTTGTGGTTGGATTTTGGAACTTTTTGTATGTGTGAACTCGTGGGGAGATAAGGAATATAATGATGTTAATTTATTGAATTCCGAGACGTGGGCCCGGGGGTCGAGTTTTGGTAATTTCGGATTTTGTGATGTTTTTTAAATTTTTTCGAGTGGGCTTCGTCCCTTTAGCATAAATTAATGGTTACGTTCTAATTTTGGTAGATTCGGAGCATCCGGAGATCGATTCAAAGGGCAAAGACATTGCGAGCTAGATTTCGGGCCGGATTGAGGTGAGTAATGATTTTAAATGCTGTTCTGAGGGTATGAAACCCCGGAATTTCACAGTGTTCGGCTATGTTGAGGTGAGACACATGCTCGATGACGAGTGTGGGGTCGTGCACCGTTGGGGATTGTGACTTAGTCCATCCCAAATGACTATTTTACTACGTATTTGACAGTTAATTGTTTAATATTATTATATTTTGGGCTAAAAGCCATATGTGGGCTTCGTGCCAACTGTTTGAACCCTTAGGGGATTTTAAATGATATTTTCCTCACTGTTTGATTTCATACTGGTGCTCAGTCATACTATATTTTCACTATTTTTAGAACTCAGCCATGTTATTCTGTTTTAAACACATTAAATGATATTTTCAAAGATATTTGAGCTGAGATTCATATTTTACTGTTGCCCGAGGGGCTTATGAGATTCTGACTGAGTAAGGCCGAGGGCCTGTGTTGTGAGGATATTTTGGGTCGGGCTGCACGCAGCAGCAGTGATATATTGATTATACTAATGAGGCCGAGGGCCTGAGATTGTACGCCACGAGGTGGCTTGAGATTGATATGAGGCCGAGAGCCTGGTTATGATGCCACGAGATGGCTTGATTTTGCGCTTGGGCCGTAAGGGGCCCCTCCCGGAGTCTGTACACCCCCAGTGAGCGCAGGTACCCATTGTGATATGAGATATGGCCCGAGGGGCTGGTATTGTTTTGTGATATTGCCCGAGGGGCTGATTCTGTTGTTACTATGCCCGAGGGGCAGTTATTATGTGTTTACCTTTTTAGTTGTTTTTCCTGTATATTGTTTAACTGTTTAAAGGATGTTTATGAGATTTCACTGCTTAATTATATTTACTGATTTTTCTTATGCCTCTTTTAGCTTAATATTGTGCCTTACGTGATTTTATATCGCTCAGTATTTATTTATTTTTATTACTCACTGAGTTGGAGTACTCACTTTACTCCCCGCACCCCTGTGTGCAGATTTGGGCGCTACAGGTCCTGCTCCTAAGGGTTGATAGTCTCCAGCAGATCTTTGGAGATTTACTAGGTGGCTGCTTGGCGATTCGCAGCCCAGTGCATTCTCCCTCAATTTTATTCCCTTTTGGATTCAGTTATGTAGTAGTGGATTAGGCTTTCAGACTTGTAGTATTGTTTTAGATACTTATGAATGGTGACACTCCGATGTCGGGCTGTGTTGGTTTTTTTTATTTCCGCAAATTATAACGTTAAATGCTTATGTCGGGATTTTGTTTCTGATTACAGACTTAGTAGTTATTATTTTAATTGCTTTAAAGTGAATTGGAAGTGTGTCGGTTGGCCTTGTCTTCACGAGAGGCGCTATCACGACCGGGTTGGGTTAGGGTCGTGACAAGTTGGTATCAGAGCCTAGGTTACATAGGTCTCACGAGTCATGAGTAGTTTTAGTAGAGTCTCGTGGATCGGTACAGAGACGTCTGTATTTATCCTCGAGAGGCTGCAGAACCTTTAGGAAAAATTCCATATTCTTGAAATTTTTGTCGTGCGAAATCGTTGAGCCGAGTCCTAAACTTCTGTTATTCTATTCTCTCACAGATGGTGAGGACACGCGCTATCGGTCAGGACGGACGACCACCAGTACCACCAGCGGGAGCCACTAGAGGACAAGGACGTGACCAAGGACGTGGTAGGGGCAGAGGTACAACCCCCACAGCAGCTGGGACAACACCTGCTGACCCACCAGCCGCCCCAGTTCAGGGTCAGGTCCTAGTGGTGGACGTTCCAGCAGCACCAGCTCAGGCACCAGCTGTGCCCATTGTGATTCCGGGTCTTTAGGAGACTTTGGCTAAGATATTGACAGTATGTACTAGCCTTGCTCAGGCGGTCGCGGTTTCTACTACCGCAGCCACTTCTCAGGCAGGGAGAGGCTCCCAGACTCTCGCCGCCCGCACACTCGATCCGGTGGTTCAGGGAGTGCAGACACCGGAGGCACCACTAGCCCAGCCGGTGGCAGCTGCTCAAGGTTATGTAGCTCCTGTTATGCCGGAGGACGAGCAGTGTAGATTGGAGAGGTTTGGCAGACTCCAGCCTCCTACTTTCAGTGGTGCAGAGGGCGAGGATGCCAGGGTTTCTTAGACAGATGTCAGCGGATTCTTTGCACCGCGGGTATTCTGGAGACCAGCGGGGTTGCATTCACGACCTTTCAGTTTACCGGAACTGCCTTAACTTGGTGGGAGTTATATGAGAGGCGTAGGCCTATTGGTTCGGCACCTCTGACTTGGCAGCAGTTCTCCGCTCTATTTTTGGAGAAGTATGTTCCACAGTCCCGTTGGAAGGAGCTGCGTAGGCAGTTCGAGCAGTTGAGACAGGGAGATATGACTGTTACTCAGTACGAGATGAGGTTCTCAGAGTTAGCTCGACATGCTATTTGGCTGGTTGCTACGGAGAGAGAGAGAGAGGATCAGGAGGTTTGTTGATGGCCTCACCTACCAGCTTCGAGTTCTCATGACTAGGGAGAGAGTGTCAGGTGTTACGTTTGAGGAGGTTGTGGATATTGCTCGTGAGATTGAGTCAGTTCATCGCCAGGAGCGCGAGGAGAGGGAGGCCAAGAGGCCTCGTGGTCATGGTAGTTATGGGGGTGCTCCTTCGAGGGGCCTGTTTCAGCATGGCAGAGGCCGTCAGTTCAGGCATGCTCAGTCAGCTCGCCCAGGTTATCGTGGGGCATCATCAGGCCATGGTTCTCACGGTTCTCAGTAGGGTCATTTTTCTCTCAGTGCACTTCCCGCCCAGGGTTCATCCCGTGCTCCATCAGTCTAGGATTCTTCTACGCCAGGTGCGTCTGCTAGTCATACCGGTGCTAGGGGTTCCCATCAGTCCCCATCTCCATCACCCGAGAGTTGCTATGAGTGTGGAGAGATGGGTCACATGTGGAGGCAGTGTCCTCGTCGTCTTGGGGGTTCATCTCAGCAGAGGGGTCAGTTATCAGCCTCAGCCTCAGCCCCAGCCACTTCACCACCCACCCAGCCAGCTAGGGGTGGAGGACAGTCATCTAGGGGTCTCCCCAGAGGGGGAGGTCGATCCGATGGTGGTCAGGCCCGCTTCTATGCACTTCCTGCTAGGCCTGATGCGATTGCTTCAGATGCGTCGATTACAGGTATTATCTCAGTCTGCCGCAGGGATGCTTCTGTGTTATTTGACCCCGGTTCTACTTTCTCTTATGTGTCGTCTTATTTTGCCCATTACCTGGGTATGCCCTGCGAGTCCCTTGTTTCTTCTGTTCATGTTTCTAAGTCGGTGGGCGATACTATTGTGGTAGACCGTGTGTACCAGTCGTGTGTTGTGACTATTGGGGGTTTGGAGACCCGAGTGGATCTGTTATTGTTATGTATTGTGGACTTCGATGTTATTTTGGGCATGGACTGGTTATCTCCGTGCTGGGCTATTCTGGACTGTCATGCCAAGACAGTGACTTTGGTTATGCCGGGTGTGCCACGGATTGAG